ATTATCTTCATTTCTCTTGAAGCAAAGTTGTGGATTTAGACTTAATATTTGCAGAAAGAAAATAGACTGCTTTACAGTCTGTAAATAGCAACAAAGGCAAAACGAAAATTTTCTTTTATGATTCCACAGTTAAAATTGCACTTGTTAATTAAATAACAATTTAGACATTTCAATCGATATATTCTTAATTCTTAAATTTATTAAATTAATCATTAATCATTAATCTTTTTTCTCACTTATTATTCGGTACTTTGTATCTGAACGGATGAAATGTGGAAGCACGATTTCTTTTTAGTCCTTCAAGGTCTCGCAGCTTCTGCATCGTGATAATCGATAATCGAATTATCTCCCATGACTCATTGACTTAATGATCCGGTTTTCTCGTTAGCGTGAGGAGATCGGCGTTTACCTTCATCGGCTGCATGCGATCTCGATCTTTGCCTTCGAAACGGGCTTGATAGCCGGCGGCTCAATCGATTCCGGGAAGGAATATCACATAAATGTTAATTTACGTATCCGATATCTCGGCGAGGCGATAGATACTTTGCGTCTTGATACCTTCTCGCTGATGCCTTTATCGTATGCCGAACGTTGTGCCGCGAGTGTGATTCACGAGTCATTGGCGAACGAGACGTTTATGAGGCATTTACGTGTCGATCTGCATGGAATCTCATCGATGTCGTTCTTAATATGAACCGAAAATTGCTAGGAGATCGGTATTCTCACAGATGTGCCTTCCATGGGATATACGCAATCTTATCTCTTTATTCAAGCTGGCGAACTGGTTGAGTTCTACGAGGTCGCCGATTGCATGAATTGACGCGATACTCGGTTTTTTTTGAAAAGAGAACTGTCAGTTTGCGACTTATTGTCAATTGAGATAAAAGAACGAATATCTTATCACAGAGATGTTTTGCTCTTTTGAACTTTGCTAATCGCTCATTTGCGTAACTTTACTTTGGGAGTATAGCACTCAATAAAAATTTAAATGCCTTATATTTCGTTTTAAAATAATTAGTAGTTCGATTTCGCTGCGATTTGATTAACTTTCTCCGTCGTTAGAAAGATAAAATTAAAAATTTTTATCCTTTGGCAAGTTTTACGGGAGACGTTGAAATAATAGAAAGTTGTTATTTATAATTTATACATATCTCTCATTTGCTACAACAATGATGTAAATAGAAAATTGTCATTCTGTAATTACTTACAGAAAAAGAATAGAAACATAAGGAAAAAACGAAAGAATATACTTTATTCCTCTACAATCAGTTATTACATCAAAATTGCATATCAAAATTAATATTTCACAATTTTAATAATTCAAAACATTCAAATTCATTTTCTGAAAAAACTTTCTTTTCCAAGTCATATCATTGTTAACAAATTAGCAATGTAAATCGCGAACTAAAGAAATTCATTTTTGCAAAAAAATTTTAAGACGATTTTTTCATCAAGAAGAGATCGAGAGTAATTACTTAGTACAATCGTGGATTGTCATGATTACATTAAAGTGATTACGCCTTCTTCTTGATGAAAAAGTCATTTTGAAATTTTTGTGCAAAAATGAATTTCTTTAATTCACGATTTACACATCGCTTCTAAATCATTATAAAATTTATAGAATTCCTCATGTATAATCCGATAATTACATACGCAATCACTAATATTAGTTAAAATCATTTATTTTATCGAATGACTTCATGTGTAGTGAAGAAAATTATTTGTAATCAGATGAAATCATATGGAATCAAATGGAATCATATAATTTGTGAAACAATATTTCAGCTATTAGTTATCCCTCGGAAGAGATAGTAAAAAAAAACATATATAACGAAATACATATACAGATTGCATTATATTGATATAGCCGTGAATGTAGCCGATGTTGGATCACAATCAAATGAGCCGCTTCGCGGAGCGAAGAGCAGTAACGACCAGATCGATCGGTCATTACTACGTATAAACGAGCGTGCCAGGTGCAAATGTGTAAATCGTAAAATTTCACAAGATCCATGTATCGGTAGCAAAATAATAATTCACGCATTTCATGCGCCCGTTAAATACTGTCGCCAGGCCCGAGCTGTTATTTTCATCGCGCCACGGCCAGATGTGAACGTTAAACGCGGTGACTAATGCAATTTCATGCTTTCTGGCAATCGGTATCCTTTGAGTCGTTACACTGTGTTATACTGGGTGTCCCAGAAGTATTCCTTTTTTATCAACGCTACTATAATAATCAATCACACTGAACATCCAAATCCCGCACTGTATAGCTGTTCTAATTACTTATCTTTTTAAACGATCGGACATTGAAAAAAAAATGTACGATGGCACACGCAAAATCTCTAATAACCTTCGTAAAATGCCTTAAAAACCGTTAGACTTTTTCGACTCGAAAACACACGGTTTTTAAGGTCAAGACAATTTTTTATCGGTCGTCCGTTCCACCGGCATCGCTGCCGATGTCGACACCAACGACCGGTCGCGCATAAACTCGCTGTTATTGTTGCGGCTATAGAAATACGATACGCGGTTCCAATGTCTCTTCGCGCGAAAAGCAGACCTCTCGGCTGCGAGAGCGATAAAAAGGATACGTGAGACGGAACGGGATAGAACGAGGGAGCGAGAAAAAGGTCGACGATGTTGCTCTGGCTGACGTTGCGGGAACGGTGGGGGGGGGACGGAGGGGAGGGTTGCGGGGATCGCGCGACCGGCCGGCGTAAAGATTACGAGGCGCGACATCTGGCGCCACGCACACACCCTCACACACGTACGTGCCATGTGTTTTATGCCAAGAGCTCTCGCGGAGATCGCGGCTCGGAGAAGTCGGAGATCGAGTCCTCGCCCACTCTTTTACAACCCGGTAGCCCAGACGAGACGCATAGATTCCGCTCACCCGATGGCGAACGGCACTCGCTCTCTCTCGCTAATGCTTTAAATTGACTTTTCACGCGCAGCACGCACTGCGATAGCAAAATGCTGTTATTAGTTAAACATTTTTCGCGAGGTGATCGCTTCCAATTAGTTCTCGAAAATTTGAATCGCACGACATTTTGCTGCCGCACTGCGCTGCGCATGAAAAGTCAATTTTACAGTTTGCCGTATGCAGTGAACAATAGCAGCGTATACAAGCGGAATTGGCTTGAAACAAAAGCATGAACATTAAGCCCATTCTATTATATATGCGTAAGCGCAGTTATAAGAGGTGTAAGAATTGTTCAATCGCAATGAAATTTGAGAAGAATATTCGACTGTGATTGATCAATTTTTTCTACAAGCACTTATAATTATGCAATTATAGAATGGGTGTCAGAGATCTGAATATTAGATCTGAATCCAAGTATAATCAATCAGAGTGAGTAAGCAGGTGATGGAAAAGTTATTAAAACGAATTGATTGAGGATGTTGCAGAATATTTGAAATATTAAAGAAAGAAAATAGATTATAAAACATTTATTCTTTATACGGTTTTCTTCGTTAATTGACGGTTGTCATCTACGGCACATCTAATCTATTATTTATTTTAAAAAATCTTTGATTTTATTCATAAGAAAAAGAAATTCTCTCACAAGTGTTATTTAGATTTCTGTAAAAGACTCTTTAAAATATTAAATAAGACAGATAATAAGATCAGACAATAAGATATAGATTTTTAACGATAATCTTTCTATTTTGCTTCTTTTTCTGTTTCTACAACATTCCTGTTTGATGTCGGGAACGCCGCGTCAGTTGTGGGACATTTGTCAGAAACTCAAAGCTGGCATCTTCGCTGCAAAATGCTCTAATTATACATCCAGAACGCTAGAAACTCGGACCATTTCTATTCCACCCGCGGAACACCTGCACGCATTCGTCTGGTCGCGTGGTCACGCAGCGACGACGATGACAACGACGACGACTACGACGTCGTGACGCGTCGCCGCGACTTACAAAACAAGGACGTCGGTTTGCGACGACGCCACGGCGCCGACGTCCAGCTGGCATCCCCGTCACCTCCGTGACACGTACCGGAGGAGTCGCGTCTCTACGAATTCCACGCTATCTCGATCGCGTCGGCCCGCCACGATGTCGTTTTCTGCAGCCGTTGGCTTTGGCGCGATGAAACGAACGCATTCGTCTCGAGTTACGCGCAACACCCTTTTCCAAAGGGCGATGATTCGTGACAATTTGTTAACTTGGATAAATCAACGTTTAGTCATCTAATATTTTGTGACGGAAAAGATTACTCAGATTTTATACAAATTTACGTACGTTTATATTAAATGTTGCAACAGTTGTGAAGTAATCATTAGATATTATTAAAATTTATTTCAAAATTTGTTAGTAATGTTTAGTATCTTTATAATGTTGGATGTTTTTTTATATCAACTATTTTCCTTGACTATTAAGTTTAATATTATTTTAGTTATAGAGCTTGGTATATGAAGTATGTATTGTACTTTATCTATTTTGTTATTTATTTATAATTAAAAGAAGAATAGAGAAAGCCAATGAGAATTGTACGTGATATTTATAGTGAATTCGTTGTTTTTTCTGAATGTTGATACCATAAAGTGATTTTAATGATTTAAGACTGCAGATTTTAATAAAAATAAAAAACGTGTGTATATATCTATTAAATATTAGGTGTTGGAATTAATTCGTAGCGTTTTTTAATGAAAGAATGTTATTTATTTCACATGAGCATTAAAAAATACATTAATGAAAGTACTTCCCATCACTTGTAAAACGCTACGAATTAATTCCAACACCTAATATAAAAGAAAGAAGTTTGTTTAATATTAAATCTGACAATCAAAGAATATAATTGATATAACATTTTTACAATAAAAAATAAATTCTAACGGTGACACCACAAACTTTTGCGAACCCCTAACATTTTATAATCTTAATTCATCATTGTTTTAATATATCGAATTATAAAGAAAAATAGGATTTTCTTTCACTTCAGTATTGAGACATGTATATCTCATCATATCGTTAGAGATTCTTTTTTGCGTCCAGCATATAATTGCGCCGAGTTAAAGAGAATAAACCGGATAAAAAATGGAAATGAGAAATTACCAAATTATACACCACTCTCTTACATATATCGCTTTGAGCGCTATTTCCGAGACAAATATGTTTGCCCGCCGCGTTGTTATTTCGCGCCAGCTGACCGCGAGGCATCCCAGAATCCGTCGGTCCAGCGGTCGCGGGGCCACGGGTGGGTATTCTCAGTCTAGCTTGTCGTCCTCGCGAGGCTCGTTTCTCCCTCGATACGTTCTAATTCCGTAGACACGTGCCCGGATGGAAACAGATGTACCCGTTCCTCCCCTGTGCTCCACCACCTCCTGACTGCTCCCGCGTCTCCTGTCGTATAAATATATTCGGTGGGCTTGAGTCGTTGAATCGTGACCGGGTATGTCGGCCCTCGCCAGTGCCGTACTTAGACGTGTGATATAAAGTTACCGACGTGTGGCTGGCGCCATACTGGCCGGACATTCCCAGTATTCGTCGTCCGGGTGACACTGCAGCACGAATTCGACGCCGAGGGTATTTCTTCCTGGCATCACATCTGCGCGAAAGCAACAATGGCTTGGAATAAAATATGGATCGACGCTCGGCGACATCGAATTAATTTTAACCGTGAGCCAATTTGGCTCCATTAGTCGCGATCTGTCTTGCGTCACGTATAAGAGACGGAGATTTATAATAGATAATTGTATAACAGTTAAAGAGAGAACGAGACAGATTGTGTATTTACAATCTCTCTTTATATATTCATCGATACATTTGAAATCCCGTCTTCAGATCTTTTCTCGGTTGGGAATAAATTGACGACTTTAGTAAGTCTGAGATCAAAATAATATTTTAATCCTATTCCGCTTATATATGCATTATATCTATGAATTTCGTTAGAAGAGTTTCGAATATTATTAGTACAAAAATACATTGTTCGTGTATTAATAATGTTTATGATTAATCACATAGAAACTTAATTATTCGCGAATAGCGTCTTTTGCTTTCGAGATCTCGTTTACAATTACGGGCGCCTCGCCGTTAAAAGTTTGGGCAGAACGGAGCGTTCCCCGAAACACGGGGGCGCGAAGTTCTCTGCCTCGGGAATGCGGGGGTTGGTAGATAGATAAGTAGATAGATTAGAGATAGCTGGGTGTAGGTAGGTAGATAGGTAGGTGGATAGTCCCGGTGTAATCGCATTGGCATACGCGCTCGTGTTGCATTATTATGCATCGCATGCGAACGCAGCGCACGTTTGTCGGGTCGGTTCGAGGCGGATCGGAGAACAGGATGAATCCTAGGAACACGGACTTACCCAGAAGGGAGGAAGTACTGCGCATCGGCGACATCCTCGTTCCGATCCTCGTGCGAAGTACAGAATATGTTTTACTCCTTCTTTCTTTCCGTCTCTCTCTTTCCTCGTGCGATCGAACGTTCTCCATTTCGTCGATGCGACGTCGCTCTCCCACGCGAGAAACTGCGTACGATGACCCGATTCTTTGAAAGAGGTCATTCGCCAGGCAACACCTGTCCCCTTGTCGTTTTAATTTCATGTATCTCCATTCGCGCGTTCGAGAATAGAGAAATTTTTTTTTTTTTTTTTTTTTTTTTTTTTTCTAAGAGCAGAGGCGGAGAAAGCGTTGCGTGGGTATTCGCCTCCTTTTCCTTCTTCTTCACCTCCTCGTATCGAATGAATCATCGAGTTCACGATTGCTCGCTCGACACGACTGGCTTTATTATTCATGAGTCGGTAGCGCGAAACTCAGAATACGCACCTTAGCTGTATGCCACGTGTTGTCGAAACTGCCGGCGAAGTCAAAGAAACATGATTTTCGTCAGAAAGGAGATTGTAATGTGGTTAAATAATTAAAAAATTCTATCTCTAAGTTTGAATAAAAATATAAAAAAGTATTGTAATTATTACACATATATATCCATTTTAAAAATTGAACAATGATAAGGAGATGTAATGAAACGCCAATAATTATTTAATTAAATGAGCAATATAATAAATCATCAATTTTCTAATTCGTAGAATAATAAAGAAAATATAAAATATGTTTTTTTTTAATATCAAAATTTTTAAATATCATTATTTTTAAAAATATCAAATGGCTTTTCCAAGTAACAGAATGACGTCAAAAAGCAGCACAGTGACATTTATTTCGGTCTGCTGGACGTCACTAATTCCGTCTTTTAACGTCATTCTGGCACTTAGATCGTTCCGTATCTGTTCCGAAAGAAATGCCAAGTGTACAATCCTTCTCGAATACGTGTCCACTTCAAATCGCGATTGTTACCAGGAAGGAAAAGAGAGAAAAGGAGAATAGCGAAGTATGAAATTAGGAACACGTCTCGTATTGTAATACGAAGCTGCGGAACCCTGGTAGCTGCGATGACACGCGCGAACAATCATCTGGATGTAATTTTATGGTCTCGCGTATCTTCGCTTATGCGAGGAGCGCAAATCGGATCCGCCATCGTGTGCGTGTGTCGACACTGCCGAGGTGTACCTACCACGCAGAAACATGCGTGTGCAAAAGGGCGACGCCGAGAAATGCGCGTGTGGCGCCAATGGCGGTGAATGCAACGCGACTCGAACGGAGCCGGCTGCGGAATGCAGTTTCGAGCCAAACTCAGAGCCACTGCAGTCTCGTCTCTCGGCTACTGTACGCAGAAACAAGAACGAAGAGAAGAAGAAGGAAGGAAAGAGATGCGCGGCGAAGAACGGACCCCGTTGTGAGCCCCCTGGGGCCCTTTATCATCACGGATGCGAACGAGATGTCGAAGCGCACCGTGTTGGAGATACGATCCACCTTCTAACCGGTCGGTGTGGGTAGAAGATACTCTTTAGTTTTCAGTATTTGAATAATACAGCTAGTATCCGGGCATAAAATGCATTTAGATACTTAAAAATGTATCTAGGATACGAAGAAAAGTCACTTACAGCTTAAGTGCTTTATATTGTTAGCTGCGGCTCGCTACAGCTCGCTTTTTATTACGCAGTTTGTTTTTACGCAGAGATGCACTTACGAATTCTCGCAATTTTTTTCATTCGATATTACCTCTCGGATGCGACGACTAACGCAGATGTCAAAAAGAAATTAACACCTACAAAAGATGGTTTAGACATTGAATTTTTGAATCATTAATATTTTTTTATTTGACACTTTGTATACGTAAATATTTAAGTATCGATGCGTAAATAAAGAAAATTTTATCTTCTTATTATACGATGTTAAAGAACTTGCAAAAGAAACTGATTGCGATCTGATTTTAACAATTTAATTTTAATGATTGAAGTAATTTAATCTTAATAATTGAAGCAATAATTAAAATGATATTTCTAACTTTGCCATTAGAAATAATGAACGCTTAAATGCATGTTTCGAAAATCGCCTTTCGTTGTAGAAGATATAAATTATAATTTACCAGCTGCAAGCTGATGATCGCACATTAATCTTATCGCTTCTTAGTGCGTGGAAATAATCTTGAAATTCTCTTCGCAATTTGATTAACAAGTAAGTAACGATGATACAAAAAACAAGGGAGAGAAAGAGGCGCCGACGAGCCTTTTCTGCAACGGCGCGGCAGATCCACTTTTTGCGGCGCACAGGTAGAGGCGTTCCTCCGGCGTGTCTCTCCTGTGCTCGATGTGCTCGATGTCACGACGCCGCACTGAATGACGTGGTATAGTCGTGAGTTGTACGGCAAAACCCCGTAGGAGTGAAGGAGCCGTTAACTCGAGCCGAGAAAGAGCTAGCCGGGTTCGAGTTCACGAGGAACACGAGCCGCGCGCTTTAATTACTTCTTTCGCACGACGTCGTTAATGATACCGCGATTATGATTCGGCTTTTATGGCCATTCAGAAATACGGTCCCTGCTGTTTCTCTCTCTCTCTCTCTCTCCTTTTCTCTTTTTCATTTCTTGGAATGAACCATGGGAAAGAGAAGCACTCTTTTTCTCATCGTCTTCCTTTCACCTTCCTTGTCATCCAGTTTCTAATCTTATCTTAGAAATCGGATTCGCAGAAAGAAATTGATATCTTCCACGATTTGATATAGTTAAAATTTGCGATTGAAGCGTTCTATGGATTCATAAATTGATGTATGGATGACCGAGATTCATTTTCAGAACGAATCCTAGAGTATGTGATGGAGGATTGAGTTTTCAAAATAATCCACTCATTGTCAGTAAAATCAGCTCAAATATTATACAATCATGTACTAATGGAAGGATAAAGAAAACATGAGTATTCCATTTACAAATGTAGTTATCTCCATTTGAAATGTTTTTTTACGAGAGCGGAAAAACTTATATCTATAATTTTTTATTGAAACTATTAATGAGATCTTTTCTGGAATCTTGTTTTGAAAAATTAAAAATTTATTAGTTTAGCAAAACATGTATAATATTGCATGAGAAATATATTTTTTCTATTTATTAAAATACGTTGCACTTGACTACTTTTGCAGCTGAAGAAAGCATTTAGCTGATTTTGAAAATGTCGATGAAAAAAATTTTTATGTATCCTTTTAAAATATTTGTATTATTCTATTAATAAAAAAAAAATGTACACACTATATTTATTTAGTTATTTATTAAATCACATTTAATTATTTATTGAAAAAATATAATGCTTTTTCCTCTTTTACGTTTATGTCAAAAATTCAAGTAAAAATAAAATATTAAACACAGAGGAAAAATTGTCAAAGCAAATTTCATTAAAAAACAATAATAAAAATAAAACATGAATTAAAAAATGAATTAAAATATAGATTACAGAGAGGAGAGAGAAAGAGAGAGAGGGATTTAACTTTGTTAATCTATTTTTTTTATTTTATAAAATTTGTCATTTTTACACAGTTTCGAATATTCAATTTGTAACTTAAATGCTAAAGCAATTTAATTTCAATATCTTATTTTTTATTTTTGGATTTTTAGCGACATTTACATTTTGATTTTTTATGTACAAAATATTATATACAAGATATATAACATGACTTTATGAGTTCTCTCGCAATTAGAAATAAACATATTAAAAGCATGTACGCGCATATGCGCAGATAAGAAATAAATACCGACCCGAGAGAGTCATTAATAACAGTCCGCTTTGTATTGTGTTTTCTGTGCTATAAATATAAATAAACTTGTAAGAACGGGCCACTTTAATTATTCTCAATTTTGATTATTCTAGATAAAAATCTAACAATGTTAATAAAAATATAGAAAATATGAAGCTATTGTAATTTACAATTTAATTTTGTACACTGCGGTATTTTTTATGAAAGACAAATGATTAAATAGTCCGAGTAAAAATATTTTATTTCTGTTATTTCCGTTTTCTAATCCATGTAGAAAGTGCATAACGTTAAACGAACGCAGAAGTGATCTAATTAGAAGCTGGACCGTTACTCGCGATCGTTCCGGCTGTCCTTTCTGTTTACATGGATTTATGGTACTTAGGTTCAGAACGACCGACAGAGTGGCGGCTCGTTCGTTTGCGTAATGCGAAACGGTGATCGACTAGTAGCCTCTTGGTTTGCACACCATATGGCGTCAGCCAGGCAGCGAATCACGGTCTCCGTGCCTCGTCGTCGGCCGCAAACGAGATGCCCTTTTTGCGTCGGATTCCTTTTTTCCATCTGTCCCTCTCCCGCTGTTCTTCCGCGCCGACTGAAAGAAGGGTGGGAAACTCGAGAGCGAACTTTCGGTGGCGCGATCGCGCTTCGCTTCTAATTATTGAACGTCCGCCGCATAGTTGTTTTAAATACAGAGATGCGAATCTAAAATATTTTGCTGCTATAAGAGGCATCAATATTTTGTGCATATTAACGATTTATATTAATTTAAAACTTAATTTAGTTATTTAACAAATTCTGTTAATAAGTGTTTAACTTTATCGTCTGCAATCTAGATTTTTTTTTAGCACAAGGGAAATTTTATTCTTATTATATTCTTATTATTTTTCTGAAATAAAGGAGAGTAGATTAAATAAAGGTTTCAACATTTGAATTAAAAAATTTATTTAGTAACATAACGGAGAGATGTCGAAAAGTAACTCTGAGAATTTTTTCACATTTTTTAAAGCTTAGAATATTAAAAAATTTGGATTGAGGGAAGGGGGGAGGCAAAAAAGGTCTAAAGCAGACGGAGCATTAAGTATATACAAGTTTATTTAGCTCAAATTAGTAGTACTACTTACACTTATTTGGCGAAAGACACTATCTCGGTCTTTTCTATGAAACACCATATGGTCGCTCGGCGAGAAAAGAAAGGAGGCAGGAATTCAATCGCGTCCATTTCGCAGATTAGAAATTTCAATCTCACGAAATGAATTCTCGCAATTCTCTCTCCTTAGTTCATCCATTTCTTGCAGAGTGAGAGCTCCACGCTAATCGCCGCACACGCGGAGTGGACTTTGATTATCGACCCGCGGGACGTGTAATTGGTCGAGGAGATCGTTAGCGCTTGTACGAGACTCGAGACCGGCAATTTCTTTCGCGATCGCCCGTGAATTATTGCGCCTTCGTAGAGTCCCGGGTTGCGCGTCGTGGTCTTAAT